AAGACTTCAAACACAGAGTCTACATTAGCATAGCAATGAACAAGTACCGAACCCTAGCACCTTGGCTCGGTGGTTGACTAACGGCCTAGTGTGACGCCTCGCTGGGCAGGCCCGTCTGTCCCACCAGGAGCGCGAGGCGTACCCGCACCTGTGCCGCTGGTTTCGGCTGGTGCAGAGCACCGAGCCGGCCAGCGCCGGCCGCGCCACCGTCGTCATCAGCCGTGCCCGGCTCTACGCGTGATGCCGGCGAACGCGCGCCCGGAGCGGGGTCTGCTCGGGATGGGGGCGAGATGCGGGCGCCGGCTGCAGCTCGTCCGGCGACGCGAACGGGGTGTGAACCTGTGGACCAGCCCTGCCACTGGCGCAGACCGAACGCAGGCCGATTCTCCCCCCCCCCCCCCACACCCACACCCGCACTCATGATGTGGGCAACATGCAGACTCATGGACATCTCTCGTAGAACACGGTGACCCCGCTCGTTACGAGTAGACGCCATCTCTACTCGTCATGCAGAGGGAGGGAGGGAGCGCGGGCTGCCAGCCTGACTCGACTCGTGTTGTGGAGCGACCGACCATGTTTGGACTCGGCTGAGTGCACGGATGGAACGCTGGGCTCAGTAAACAGCTTACAGAGTTCGGTCGTCACCAGAAGGCTGATCACTGCTCGATCAATGTCGGCTGATTAAGGCTTGCCCGGCAAATTCAGTTCTGCCGCGTCATTCGGCGCTCGTCATGCGTTGAGAGCTGCGCTGTTTTGCCGGTAAGGGCCAGGCGCGGACTCATGGGATCTTTGTGCGCTTGTTGTCCGGTTCTGGGCGCGGGAGGACTGAGGGTGAGGTCGCTGTTTTACTTGCGGACATGCTGTTTGCAGGTCGACAGTTCGCTCTGATCTTCCTTCTGGGCGTCTGGCTGCGATTGGCGGGATTTGTGGTGTGCGTTGATGGCGGGGGTGACTGGTGGTGCTCGCAGTGTTCAGCAAGGCTGGGATAACCACATGGAGCTAAACGGCAGACGTGTGGGCCGTGGTCGCATTGTGAAAACCTCGACATTATGAAAACTTTGATAGGGTTGCGTGATGTCTTCGGTTGTGACAAATGATCAATCCATACGAAAGATGGTATTTCGTTTTATTTGGATGGCAGGTGCTGATATTCACCGAATTTCAATATCTTACAAATTTGGCAAAGCTTGGCGCATCCTCAATTTCATCAGATGCAGTCCCAAAAGCCAAAAAGTTGGTATGTGACACTCCTTGCAGTAGTTTGATCAACTGCTTTCGAAGTGCGGCCTTCGAATCGAAACGTCTGTCCAAGGGATCGGGATCACGCAACAGGCTTTCTTGTATTCTTCCAGAACGATCAGGAAATTATAATGGCGGTTGGCAAGAGTATGTAAGCACCCAGTGTGCCTTTTTCACAGTTATTCCGTTAGGTTTTGGTGTTTTCTACGGAGGTTGATTATTAATACAAAAAGTAATCCGTCGATGTCTGTCATCTATTGGCTGCGCTGGTGTTTCAGCTCCATCAATCGTTCCTTTTTGAACGAACGATCAACATGCAAATTACGGAGATATGGTTGCGTGACAATAATTTTGTATAACCAGGTTAATAAGACAAGGAATACGTTGTGAGCTAATATGTATAAGCAATATATATATATATATATATATATATATATATATATATATATATGAGACAAGAATAAGGCAAGGCACTAGCGAAATAGGATATGAAATAAGACATCGTGATACAAGATACGAGGCAAGTTCAAGATGACATCAAATATAGGCGATGTGGAAGGTCATATATAGATCAGATGTAAGATTCAGGTTGACCTCCCAAATATTTGAGCAATTCCATTTCCTTCCCGGAAACGCAGGCATCACGCGCAAATAAAGAACAATTGGTAAAAACGATGCCCAAAATGCCAACAGATGCAGGACTGCGCCTCAGCGCCACGCGCTCAGTGTCCAGAGCGGTGCGAGCCAGTCAAGTGTGACTCCTTCGTCTGAAGCGCTTTCAAGCTTCGTTCTGATGGCCCCCCAGCTACACGGCGAGCTACAATGCATCGAATGAATCCCCGTGAATCAAAGCTTTTCCAACACCTTCGACAATGTTATCAGTAGCTTCATGCCGTGATATGATCCAAAAACTGACCGCGTTCCTGCGCGTATAAAATCGAATCAGACCCTTCGCCCAGAATGAAATGTTTGATACTACAAGACAGAGGAGCGTGTTCTGAAGAACATCTCGAAACCAACTCATAGTCCCGCGTTTACCGCAGAGACACCGTCATCGCTCCGACTGCGCCACCTCGCGACCGCCAGGTGGCGTTACCCAGCAGCCACTCGGATGTGCTAATCCTCTGTAGCGCCCAGCCACGTTAACACAAAAGATGAAACCCTCACATCATCGGTCCGACGTTCGCGTATCACTTTGAACGTTACCAAAGGCAACGGCGCCGCTGTCACTGCACTGTGGGGCCACGGTGCGACCGCGGAGCATCTAGCTCACGGTCAGTAGGCCATGGCGGCGCCGGCAGGTCCGGGCGCCGCCACACCGTCAGCGCTGGTCCAATGCCGCCGCAACGAAGGCTGCATCGCTTCTCCAGCAGCTCCATGCCGGCGCCAGACTGTGCGGGCTGCTGGCAGCACCCCTGTGTAGCCACCAGTTGGTTGCTATGCGACGGTTTGTCACCCCTGCGTCTCGGCACTTGCTGGATACGTCAATGTTGATGTTGCGGTAGCCAGACGGAAATTTTGTGAAACCTTCTGCACGTATATCTCCAGAAAAATGCTTCACTAGCCCTTCACAATCAAATTAGGTTGTTGAAAATGACCTAACCTCACCAAAGAAGCAGGAAATTCCCAGGTCAACGGGCCACGTTTCCAGAGTTTTTTCCAGCTCCCCGCGACAGGCAACCTGCGTGGTTTCCTTCCGCGTACGCACTTCCCTTCTACACATCGGTCAAATGTCCACTGTCCAGCACTCCACCCGCCGAGGCGTTTGGGGCTTCTTGAACTGTGGCTGGAACTATCAGGAACGTGGTCCTTGAGAAGAGCGACTGAACAGCTTACGGTCGTTGCGTGCTGTACAAGCTTTTCCAGCTATGAGCGCTGAAAATGTGCGGTGTCATTTGCCAGTTGGCGCAGTTTTGGTACGTCGACACACATGCCTGTCACGCAGTGAATCAGCTCTTCTGTCACGCATGATCCCTCGCTGTGGACTCCTGATCCCTTCCAGGCTGATCTGCGCAATTAAATGGCGGTCGGCTGGCAGTGAACGTTTCGGCTACCGCTTAAGCCGCTCGGTTCTATCCAATGTGCAACAGATGCTTGGTGAAATGACGTCCTGCGATGACAATGTGCTGAATATTCCAGGGTTGGTTATTGCTGCCAGACTTCCAGGCAATGAAAATGGAGGTAAATATGACGTGCTCACCGTATTATCAGTGATGCACGATAGATGTCAGGTGAAGCTGGTCGAGAACCCGCGCGTCTAGTTCTCATCACAGCCAACAGGTGCGCAATGTGCATGAGGGGCGCCCTAGTTATAATTACTGTCAACAGATGGGAGGCGTTAGGTCAGGCATGTCCGCGCGTTCAGTTCCGATTGCGGTCCCACAGATGTCAGGCGGTGCGCCAGCTGATCGCCCGTGCGTCTCGTTCTGATCACGGCCGACAGATGTCAGCGGTCTGCGCCAGGTGAGTGGGTGGAGGTCGCCAGCGCCTGGCCAGTCCGCGCGCGTCCTTTGCAGGGGTGGACAACCGCAGCCGCACGTCCCGCACCATGGAAGCTGTGCTGTCGTCGCTCGGGCTCGGCACGCGCTACTGCGTCGTCAGCGCCGACCACGAGCAGCCCGAGCTATACGCGACGACACACGAGCGCTGCCCGCAGACGGCGTTCGAGCGCTTCACAGACTTCGGCACCGTGTACGACAAGTTCTCTAGCGGCGAGCGTCCGAGCCTGACGTGGCCGGGCGCCGGTCCGACAGCAGCGCCGCCCGCCAGCGCCAGCGCAGCTCGGAGCGCGAGAAGGAGAACACCTCGCCCGGCCAGGCGGTGCTGACGCTGTTTGACCGCCTGGCCGATGCGACACAGCAAGACAGAGCTGTCGTCGTTCGATCGGCAGTTCCCGCTCAGCCGCAGGTATGTGACGCAGTCTGCAGCGACGCACTCCTGAGTTCAGAGGAGCATTGCCAGTGCGGTTTTTGAACCATAGAACTATTGTAATTGGTGTGGGCAAGACCTCTTTACAGGGGCTCACAGCGGAGCGGTTGTTGCGGCAGTGCTGCGTGCGCGCGTGTCTCGGTTGCCGGGGCTACCGTTGCGCCAGACCCCAGATGCGTGCTCGGCGGTCCTGAGCCGCTGGCCACGGTTTATGACCGCCAAGCACATTAAATCAGCCGGCTGGTGCCTCCCCCTCCCCCCCCCCCCCCCCGTCCGCTGCCGTGCTCAGTCATAGCCTCGGGTTCGTCTTGCCCGGGTCTGAGCCGGGATGAGGGCGCGCCCTCCGGCTTATTTGGCTCGCTGGGAGACGCAGGTGGGTCCGCTGACGCTATCCGGCCGCGTTGCCGACTTCCGGACCTCCGTCAACTTTTCCATCAGCCTCTTTGTCTGATTGATCTTGACTGGAATGGTAGCGACTCTTGCTGTCATGAGCGTGACCACCAATGGGGTGCATGGGACCCGGACCTCAGTAACGTTTCGGGCAAATTGGACTATTATCGTATTTTGGCCGTATAACATGGCACCAAAAACAAGCTGACGTAGTAAAACAGAAGACGTGGCTTGTTTACGCTTGCAGTCAAGCATTTTAGGTGGAGAACATTGATCAATGAGATAATTCGTGGCGAAGCAAGCGCTTCTTTAAGACAGAACCACAAGCCGCTGGTCTCTCGCAGATGGCATGTTATGCATCTCGATTGGGATAACTGACCGCATGACCGGCGTCGTATACAGGCGGCACTCCCTAAACTTGAATGATGGATACCAAGACATCGCATCCATTTCCACGAATGACTCTTCAAGGTTGTTGGCCCACGAAGTGCTGCCAGGCTTGACAACCCGGCCAGTCCCCTTCCTCCCCATTTCCGGGGCGATGCACCGTTATCTGGCACCTCCACAAGAGACGCCGTCCCTCCGGCCCCAGTTCTGCCCGCCGCGCCAGTTCCGGTCCGGCGGGCGGTCCGCTAACCACTGCCCTCGCGGGTCACGCGGATGGCTGCATTATTCAGTGATCCAGCACCGCTGTCCGGCCCTCTCCGGACCAGCCCGCCGCTCTGAAGTGCGCTTTGTCCGCGAGGGTGGCTCGGGCCGCTCCCCCACCCGGTCCTGCGGTGCCGAGCCGGATCTACATCTGAGGGCGGGTGGCTCGGACAACCCGGCGCGCGCCTGGATTCCCAAACTTTGGGATCTGGATCCCGTTTTGAAGGTTCGCGTTGGATCGGGGATCCGCCGGTGGTGTCCACGCACATGTCGGACGGCGGGCGGACGGGCCGGCGCCGGGCGGGGCCGCCCAGCTGATCGGCCCGTTACGGTCCGCCGCGCCTTTGTCCGCCGGTGACGTCAGCGCCGCGTCACGTGACCGCCGCGGGCGTGAACGGCGCACATGAACTCTGAGCGGAGTCAGCACGACGGGGCCGAGCTGCCCGCGTGGCAACTGGCTGCTAGGACGGCGGATTTGTACTGGTCTTTCTCAGCCCGGACGGCGGACCTGCGCCGGTATTCTCGGCCGCGACGGTTGGGCCTGCACCGGTCTTCTCGGCCCGGACGGTGGGCTCGCCACCGGTCTTCTCGGCCCGGACGGTGGGCCTGCACCGGTCTTCTCGGCCCGGACGGTGGGCCCGCACCGGTCTTCTCGGCCCGGACGGTGGGCCTGCACCGGTCTTCTCGGCCCGGACGGTGGGCCCGCACCGGTCTTCTCGGCCCGGACGGTGGGCCTGCACCAGTCAGCTGGCAGTTCGCACCTGCCGCTGCGGACCCATCCTCGTCGCTCCGTAGGCACCGCGGCGGTCCTGAGCCAAGCGGTGACGGTGCGGTCTGCTCGTGCAGGGCCGTGTCGAGCCGGGCGATTGTCCATGGCGCTGGCCGGTGGCTGCACCGACCGGCACCTGGTGGTGTCACGGCGCTGGGGCCAGCGTGACCCAGAGAGCGCCGTCACGCGTCCTTGACCTGGTTCCTAGGGCACGTCTCGGTATGAGCCGCACGCCGACGAGCTGGATCGACTTCCAGTCCGTTTGGAAATCGCCGCCGCTCAGTTTCGTAAGCGCGTTTTAGCGCAGCCTATGGTTAAGGTCGCCTGCCTGCTAATAAGGACCTGTCGCCTGGGGCCGCCGCTGAACCTCATTTGTGGGAAGGCTGCCGCGCCTCCAGGTTTGCATTCACAGATCCACAGCTTGTGATCCGCGATCGCTGCCATTGCCCCAGGCGTGATCGTGACACGCCCGGCTTGCAGCTACACCTTCAACAGAAAACACATTCTCCATGGCACGTTATGGACACGAATTCCTTATATTTTGCCGTTCATTTTACGCACATAAAATGAAGGAATGACTACAGTACCTATGTGCATGCTGATTGTTAAATGCATTGATGTACGGTTGAAGCGAATGTTGCACATGCAGGAGGCATGTTTGCAGATATTGGTAAGAGATAAAACGAAACTAGACGCATTCGATGGGCTTCACAGATCCATAATTCTGTGACCAAACACATTCGATCCAAAACGTCTCACAACGTTCCGAGAGCTGCTACCGAATCTTCATCAACGGAAGCAGGAAGTGTTTAAAGAAAAATTCATGTAACAGATACGGAGAAATGCATGACTAACTGCTCTTCAACACTTCTGGATGGATAAAGACTATCATTACACGAATGTCGGATCCTTGACCTACTATCGCCACCATTGCAGATCTGACAAGTACGCAAAAAGTGCCGCGATTATGAAGTACGAGGATGAATCGCGATGCACAAAAGGATTCCTGATGGGTGGCACGCATACGTCAAACGACGACATACATCAAAATAATGGTGCTTTAAATCGACAGAAGAAAGCCCGGACCTGCGGCAGCATGGAATATCAATTCGAGCCCGCAGTGTGACACAGACGGGGCCGGTCTGCTCCACGCGTGCTGGCTGCTTTGCCGCTCGGGAACGGACATGAACCGCTCAAGCCTCCCGCAGCGGACGGAGATGGGACGTACCTCGTGCGCGACGGCCCCTGGCCTTCCGCCACCGGTGCGGGACGGACTCCCTGCTGGGAGTTGGCTGATCGCGCAGCTGGCGGCACGAAGTGCTGACAGGTCAGCGGCTGATGTGAACGGGTCGGCAGCTGATGTGGACGAGTCGGCAGCTGGTGTGGACGAGTCAGCAGCTGGTGTGGACGGGTCGGCAGCTGATGGGACAACTTAAGCCTACAATTATTGCCACCAAGAAGCGCACTGGTGAATTTTTCAGAAAGGGTGCCTGAAAATTTGAATCCTTCTAGATACCCGTTAGTCTGTTCTGAAAGACAACACCTGGCGATCGTGTAAATCTTTGGTCCTTGACCTGCTATCGCCACCATTGCGGGTCCTATCATTGCGTAAAAAGCACTGCCTTTATGAACTGCGTGGGTGCAGGGTGACCTACTGAGTCCTTCACGAATGGCTCGTGTGTGATCAACATGCGTGCCTGACCGGCATGCGTCAAAACAACAGCACTTCAGATCGGCGCAAGAAACCTCGGCTCCGAAGCCGCATGGGATAGCGATTCAATCATGCAATGCCACTCAGACCGAGCCGGTCGCCTTCACCGACCCGCATGGGATAGCGATTCAATCATGCAATGCCACTCAGACCAGGCCGGTCGCCATCACCCACACAGGCTGGCGCGTGACAACGGGGCAGACATGGCTCGAGCGGGGATCCGCGCAGCGGGAACAGATGGGCCGCCTCTGGTGCGCAGCGGGCCTCGGCTTCCAGCCGCCGGGACGGGATAGACTGCGCGTGTGCTGGACGCTGGCGGGTCGCGCTGCCGGCGGTGCGGACTGTGGACAGGTCGTTGGTTGATACGGACGAGTTGGCAGCTGATTCCTGAGCGATCGATGGCGAGTCCAGCGAGGCGTTCATTCAGGTGCCAATGATGGGTCGGAAGGCAGTCCTCTGTTTCGTGACCAGGCAGTCGGTGAGCTGGCAGGTCCGGTCCGTTGGCGGCTGCTGACAGGTCCGGCCGATCGACAGCTATTGGCAGGTCTGGTCTGCCGGCGGCTGTTGACAGGTCCAGCTGGTCGGTGGCTGTTGACAGGTGCAGCTGCATGCTGGCCTCTGACGGGTCTCGGCCGGCCGGCGAGTGCTGACCGGTCGCGGTTGCGACACCGCCGCGGCCGGCACACCGCGGCAGGGGCCGACGCACGCGGCCAGTCCCCGCCGGAGCGGGCCGGCCGCCGGCGGACTCGTACTGGGCGCGCCGCCGGGCGGGCTGCACCGGCCTTGGACCAGTTCACGGTCCGACCAGCGGGCCGCCGCCCCGCTGGGAGCGGCTGGCCGCAGGGGTCGGACCGCCCACCGCCCGCTCCCACCCCTTGGCACGCTCCATGACCCCGCCGGCGTGGCCCCGGGTCGACCACCCCACACCCTTCTGGTTCCGATGAACTGAGGTTCGTGTTGAATGATTGATCAGCTGACTCATCGATGACAGCTCATTCATCCCGTCAATCACGCTGAACACGCATGTGCGCCACTTGGGTGTGCCATTCTGGTCACAGGAGACCAGTTGCGCTAATTATTTTTACGATGTGGCACGGTTGCCACACAGCTTGCGTTGCGCCACGCAACTGCTAGCATTTTTGAGCATTATCTCATCAGCTGTCTTTTTCGTTTCCGTTTAAAGAGCACAAAATTGCCTAAACAGCGGAAGCGCCCTTATCCACCAATCGTCACCATCACCGCTTCCAATTAAGTGGGAAGGGGGTTTCCAGCGCTCGCCGGCTTTCCACCGACCGCTGTAAGTCCGCCCTCCCCTTCCCTTGTCCGCGTGGCAGCTGCAGCCAGGCCTGCCGCGCGACCCCTGACAAAGCCGGGCGGCCCATCACCTGCACGCCGACCAGACCTCAAACCGGTCCCGGCGCCAGCTGCCGGCGCCACGTGCCGCCGCCGTCAGCTCCCGAGGCGCCGTCAGCTGTGGTCGGCAGCCGCCGGCGGCGCGGCGTGCGCGGGCGGGCGTGGGCTGTTCCATGCGTGTGATCGATATGCTGTGTTTGTGCGTTTGTTGCTTGTTGCTCGGGTTGTACCGACCTTCGCCCAGATAGATAAGTGAAGGCCACTCACTAGCATGCTATGTGAGAGCGGCCTTTTGAGCTGGCGGAGCCTATCCTGGCTCTTCTTTTGCCATATTATTTGAGGCTGACATCCATTTGCAGCCACGCCCTTGGGCGGCGACAGTCTTCACTCATCACCGTCGTATCTAAGCCAATCACGCGGGCTGTCAAGCGGCCCAAACGACCATTAAGATCGGAACAAGATCCCCGACCCGGCCATTGTTCTGCGTCGTGCGGCCGAGGCGTTCCGGCCGACGGCGAGGCGCCGCCGATCCGGCGCGTGCGTCGGCCATCAGAATGCAGATCACCGCCCTGCGTATTCAGCCCGTCGCTGACCCTAGCGGTTCGGGTCAGCGGGTCAGCTGGCGGCCCGTAAACCCCTGGCGCTCGCGGGGACAGGGACGGTATCGGAGCGGAGACCTACATCCGCGGAGCGGCCGGTGCGAGACGAAACGCGAGCGGGCGAGCGGGTGGCGAACGGCAGCGACCACCGAACCAGAGGCAAGAGTGGATGATGCCTGATAAGTCCGCGCTAACGGAGCGCGCTCCAGGGTATAACGTTCAGGCTGTAGCGGTGCCCACATGTCCTCTCAGTCCCAGACAGTGCAGAGGCAGCTCCCGCCGTCAGCTCGGTTTGGCAGCGGTCCCATGGATTGACGACTAGCGGCAGCCCATGCCGCCCGCTCTGTTCAGCCGCGGTCCCACGGACTGACGGTGATCTTGCCAGAAGTTTGGCGTTACTTGTACCGCCTTTCCGCCGGTCCTGACGGTTAGGTGCGGTTATCGGCAGACCGGGTGCTGCGCAGGGCGGCGTCCCACCACTCCGCCGCCCGGAACCGGCCCTGGTGGCTGTGTCCCTGTTTTATATTCGTGTTTCAGAGCGCTCGGACGTGCTGAAGGTCAGATGGTATCAGACCAGTGCGGGGTATGGGGCTATGCGCACGGAGAGCAAGCCCTTGCATCCTGCAATATTAACACCATTGCCAGCGAGAACGAGAGGCTGGAGGGCGGTGTTCTCTCACGCTTCTTAGAAGTCAACATTACAGGGGAGGTGCAGGCACCGAGAGAGTACCATTTTAGCACCAGGGTGTTCATGTTGGCGCCTAGCACAGCCCGGCCGCGGGGGATAAGAGGCCCGATAACGTCAGTGGATTTGGTCGTTCACCAGCGCTTAGAATCGCGCACCAACTCTGAGCATCGCCTGCCGCACAAAAATCGGTAAATATTCCCGATGATCGGTGCTCAGAGAATCGACTTAGTTGTCTGCGGACAAAAAATACGGGTTTGGTTGCCGGCGTCAGGGATCAGTATTTGATCAGAGCTCTCATTGTGCGACGCATTTGGGAGAAGTCCTTTTTGCGCATCTACGATCGTGATGACATTGCGGGCGTCGCTGTAATATGAACGAATTCCGGTGTGAAATTGGTTATTTTGACAAAAGCGTAGGCGCTATTTGTTGCTATAAGCTTACGCGGTAGCTAGAGTCGAGCAGAATTCAGCCGACGTGATAGCCGAAGCGTTAAACATTAGCGCTCTTGTCGCTGATGCAGTTTTCACCGGTGCTACCAAACCTGTTGTGAAGGGCATTATGTATAAGCCGCGTAGCGAGTAGCGCTATTGATATCGCCATTAAATAAACACTGGTGACGTAAGTATGACGTCACGCCGGTAGCTAGCGTGCTCCGTGCGGCGGGGCTCGGACGGCGAACAGCAGGGCGTAGCCCAGACCCGATACCATGACGGGGTGACGCAAGCAGCCGGCGCCGAACTGACTGTGACGATTGTTTCCAGGACGCAACCGGGTGCTCCGTGCCGTCCAATTACATGAAACAGGACGTTTCCCCCCCCCCCCCCCCAGTTATTAGATGCAGTCACTGGAGCGCTTCAACGCCCTGATGCAACGGTGGCCAATTCATTTCGTCGCAGCTGATGCGTGGAGCGAATTATCGACGGCGGTGGTACGGCTGTCGATAGCTGACGATAATTTCAGCTGACGCTCACTGTGTCGTGCGTCGTCACCGGCTCACGAAGGCTTGGCACTGTGCCACGTTTGGTGTTCGTATGAGGAGCGTAGAGGTTTGTCGCTTGTCAGTGAACTGGTTCCATGAGGTGTCTCGGAAACACCGCCGAGCTGCATGCGCACGTGCCTATTGGACTTCCCAAACCGCATGCGCCTTGTCGCGTCGAGGTCTTGAAAGCAGTGGTCTAGCACTCGTTCCTTGGTATCTGAGGAGGCCGATAAGGTATCACGTGGGAGATTTACGATCGCCCGAATCTGCGACGCATGTTGCCGCCATGTCATGTCGTTTCGATGGCACCAGACACTGGTGGCAGGGACGGAGCCGTGTGGTGAGCCCCACGTCTTGGCCAGCCGTATGATGGGTCCCACGTCTCCACGTCCCCGTGCCGTCAGTTGATGACGTGCGACAGATCCGCCTCTTGGGCCCTGGGCCGTAGAGTTTAAAACGTCTGACGGGTCCCAAGCCCAGGCTCTTTGCTGTAGATGTGTCAACTGAGTGTGAAGTAAACGTTTGCGGCTCCCTCCGGGCGGTTACAAACTGGGCTGACCTGTCCCATGGCTCGCTCCGCGGGCTTGGCAACGTCGGACTTGTTTGTCGATCCCGGGTGTTTGGAACGCGACATGCCATGGGGTTCAACACCAGCAACATCTGGTTCATTCATGATGGAAACTGCACACTGACAGGCTTTTCGGCACCACGAGAACAGCGCAATATAAAACTTGACTCAAAAGGCTTACAGTCTTCAGAACAAAAGTTCTACTGAGGTTTGCGCATCCGTCATTTTCGTCGCACTAATAGACGAGGCGCATGTCGCCGGAGCAATGTCAGATCTGGAGCATGCCGCCGAGGGCAAGATAATAGGGCGAGGTTAAGCTGCTGAGGTCAGGTGAAATGACTGCGGGCTCTCAGCTTGAGACGATGGGGCTTTGTTAAATGACCGGCAATGGGTGAAACGCCATTACAACACGGCGCTGGTACGGAGCGATATGAACGCTTTCGGAGTGCCGTGTACGCGCCCGGGGGTCACGAATGGGCCGGTGCCAGAGTAGTCAGCGTGAACTGGAGGGTCATGGTTACGGTCCGTAGTCCGTTTAAGTTATCGCTGATTGAATCAGTGAAAGGGGCCTAAACCTCAGCATAGTGCAGGATTGCGTTCTAAAGCTGGCTGCGTTGAATCGATGAAATTTCCGCATGAACTAATGCTTCCCGCGTGTTTTTCACACGTGTTTACAACTCTGGACATGCGTGCTGCAGATGAGCTCGATGCGTTTCTCGTGAAAACACCCAATGAAGACTAGTATTCACGGTGTTGGTGTCGGTGATTGTTATCTATGGCGTTTGCGTCGAACCTCTCCCCGACGCGGCGTCCGCTACATGTCCGTCGGTGTGGCCCACGCCCCACTTCCGTCCGTCTGATTCGTAGCCCACGTTCGCCTGTTTGATCCACGCCCGTCTGTCCGCCCACGCCCCACGTCTGCCCGCCTAACCCCCCGCCCCCCCCCCCCCCCCGGCCGCCCGCCCGCCCGCCCGCGACATGCGTTCGCCCTTCTAACGGTGACGTTGTCCCTGTCATCGCAGGACGGACTCGAGCCGGCTGCCGAGGCCGGACGGCGGCGAGGCGTCCCGGCCCTGGCGCACCTCCAGCACGTGAGTACGCCGCGCGGGCGCACCCCACTCCTGCCGCGTGACGCGCTGCGCACCGCTGCGCGCCCCTCGGCGTCGCCCCGCTCTAAAATCGATAGGAGTCGGGCGCGGCGACGTTATGTAAACCACAATATGCCAGGCCACGCACTTGCGAAATGCGCCGCTTGGGTGCAGTTACGTGCAGGCCGCGGCTAGGATTGCTGTGTGATTATACTTGGACTACGAGCAGGTCCGCTGTCTCACGCGGATTTACGCTCTTAACTGGTGTTCAGTCACTTCCGGGCGGACTTAAAGGATCTGCGGGCGATATGCAATGGCACTCAGTACATTTAAGCTGAATGTAGGACCGGAATTTCAGCGTTGAGTGTTTCTGATTACTTGATAAGGTGTCAATGTATGGTGCAAGCGTGACGTGGATTAAGTACGTGGATTCACAATCGCTAATATGGGCCGCGCGATCTGCAGCATGTCTCACACTCATACGGGTACAATAAAGCTGCCGTGTCGACGTTCTTAGAATTTACATTAAATTTTGACAGTCATAGCAGATAGATACCTAACGCTACCCGCACGATGTAGGCAAATCTACCGGCTGTATCCTGCTTTGCTAGATTCACGGTGTTCGACCCAAAGAGGTGCAGGCAAATGACCGGAATGCGACTAATGCCGCCTTTAAACAGCCAGTCGCCAGAAGGTTGGGGCCAAGTTGAGGAGTTTGGTGCTATGAAAACTGTGCGGGAATACAAACCAGTCAACGGTGGTCAATATCCCTCGTAAATAATGGCGCTTCTGGAATGTTTTGGCCGCATTAGAAGGAAACGTTAATGAACAACATGATAATGATAAGTCAGGCCGACACAGCTGGAGGTGGTCTGGTGCATCGCCAGCCAACCGTTAAGCTGTCCTGGCCTGGTGGAGGACCGTGACAAACGCTCCAATCGCTGCAATACAACCTCCCCAAGTTCAAATCTCGGCTAAAGATGGGTGTTTAATTGGACTTTATATCTGACAAATGATTGGATAAATAGCTACTATGTTTCCAAAGCTGTCCAGACACTATTTGCTACTGCTTTGCCGTTTACACTGCCACAATACTGGCCCTTTTGATCGGCTTACCCCCCCCCCCCCCCTCACGGCCTGTATCCCACAAAAAATGTCAGATGAGGCATTCCACTGGCGTGTTTTATATCTGGTCAATCGTGCGTAGTCATTGAAAACATCATGTTTGCGCACTTCATTCGTGATAATAATCACAGCCACCCCTGCATCATTCATTAATCACAGATGTTTCGTAATATACTGGAGAACCCGATTGTAGCGATCTACAAACCGGCGGTGCTGCTTGTGTTCTCGTTTTCAACGCTCCTGCGTGCGCCTTCTGCAGTCGATCCGAGTCATCCCCGGACTGGACAGCGCCACGGGACACCAGCACCAGCACCAGCGCCAGCGCCAACGCCAGCTCCGCTGCGCCCAGCGCGGCCGAGAGCTGCGCCCAGGCTGTGCTCATCGATCTCAGCGACAACTGACGCTCGCGCCGCGTCTCGGGTGGTCTGCGCCGGCCGCTGGGCGGAGCGGCCCGGCTCCGCGCCGGCCGCCGCGGCCGTGCGGCCAGGCGGTCTGCGTCACCGGTCCTCCACACGGGCGACCGGTCGGCTGGGTCGGCGCGGGGAACACCCGTGGCTGTGTAACAGGGCCCCCCTCACCACCAGCCGACGGCGGCCGACGGCGGACGGGAGAGCTTCGACACACACACGGCCTCTGGACGGGCATCAGCGGCGGGGTTTCGCCGTCCGCCCTGTGGTGAGCAGGGCTCGCCCGCCGGCCGTGACAGCGGTACCAGCGGGAGGGGCGCCGCACGCTGTGTGGCCGCGCCCGTCGGCTGCACGACCGGCAGCCGGACCGCCGACCAGTGGTCAGAGGGCGTGACCGTGTCACAGGGACACATGCGTCAGGGATGGAGACGCGCCCTGCAGCGGCGAGCCGCAGCCGGCGAGGGTGCAACAGCGACGACCAGACACGCACAGCGGCCTGCGTGGTGAATGTGACCGCAGGGATGGTGGGCCAACTGGGCGCAGCCCGGCGACTTTTCGCAACGCCTGCTATGTCTGATTTAAACCGCCTTGCGCTGGCGAGACCGCGGATGGGAAGGGCGCACGGTTGCATTAGCCGGCGCTCCGAGGGGCGCGAGCGCCCACGCGTCACCAGCCGCCCACGGGCACACCCCGGAATGTGCCGTCGCGCTCGGATGGCAGCGGCTGATAGGCGGCCGGCTTGCGCGGGCACGCCGCGTCGCCCGGCCGCGAACAAATCCGCTCGCAGCGCGTGCGGGCGAGCCGGGGCGGCCCGTCGTGATCCTCATGTAGTCATTACCGTTGCGCTCCGCCGCCGGCTCGGGCCGGGTAATTTGTTTGTCTCGGCGGGGTCGCCCCGCAGCGGCAGCGCGTCGAAGCGCCCGGAGCGGCGCGCGTCAGATAACCGCACGCGGTGTTGTATTCCTGCTCCGGTGTGATTATGTATCGACCGCGGGACGCGCAGTCGGCGCGGCCGGGCTCGGCGTCACACGGGGTGACCTCGGTCACCCGGCGGGCGACACACCCACGCCCCGGCAGCTGGCGTCGCGCGCGGTCCCACGCCCGGTAGTCCGGCGGGGGAAAGTCCCGGTGTGGCCAGTCCTTGTGGCGGGCAGAGGGGCCGGCCGACGGACTAGGTCAAGCGGTGTTGTCGCGCGTCGGTGGAGGGGAAGAGCCCGCTGCAGCGCGGCGCTAGATCCGGCAGGTGTGCTAATGGAGATGCTGGACCCGGCAGATGCGGCGATAGCGGGGAAGTGAGAACCGACAGGGAGAGCTGGCTGCTGTGCGAATGGCATAATGGGCAAAGGGACGCTTGATGTCTGAATAGCGTGATGGGCAGATGGCTGTTGTGGGGCGTGGAGTCTCATGGGCAGGCGGCTGTTGCTGGGCAGACTGTATGGCGGCCGGACGGCCTCCTCTGTGTGGAGGGCGTGGGGGATGCGTGTCACCTCTGTGCGTACCGCCCGGTGAAAAGAGTGTCATCTCTGTGCATACGGTCTGGTAAGCAGAGTGTTACCTCTGCACGTACCGTCTGGTGACAGAGTGTCACCTCTGCGAACCGTCGGGTGAACAGTGTCACCTTTGTGCGTACTGTCTGGTGAACAGTGTCACCTCTGTGCGTACCGTCTGGTGGGCAGAGTGTCACCCATGTGCGCACCATACGGTGAGCAGAGTGCCACCTCTGTGCACACCATCTGGTGGACAGAGTGTCGCCTCTGTGCGCGGCGTCTGGTGAACAGACTGTCACCTACGTGCGCGGCGTCGGGTGGACAGAGGGCAGCTGGTGTGAGTGTCGCCCATGTGCGCGGCGTCTGATGGACAGAGGGCAGCTGGTGTGAGTGTCACCTATGTGCGCGGCGTCTGGTGGACAGAGGGCAGCTGGTGTGAGTGTCACCTATGTGCGCGGCGTCTGGTGGACAGAGGGCAGCTGGTGTGAGTGTCACCTATGTGCGCGGCGTCTGGTGGACAGAGGGCAGCTGGTGTGAGTGTTACCTATGTGCGCGGCGTCGGGTGGACAGAGGGCAGCTGGTGTGAGTGTCACCTATGTGCGCGGCGTCGGGTGGACAGAGGGCAGCTGGTGTGAGTGTCACCTACGTGCGCGGCGTCGGGTGGACAGAGGGCAGCTGGTGTGAGTGTCACCCATGTGCGCGGCGTCTGATGGACAGAGGGCAGCTGGTGTGAGTGTCACCTATGTGCGCGGCGTCTGGTGGACAGAGGGCAGCTGGTGTGAGTGTCACCTATGTGCGCGGCGTCTGGTGGACAGAGGGCAGCTGGTGTGAGTGTCACCTACGTGCGCGGCGTCGGGTGGACAGAGGGCAGCTGGTGTGAGTGTCACCCATGTGCGCGGCGTCTGATGGACAGAGGGCAGCTGGTGTGAGTGTCACCTATGTGCGCGGCGTCTGGTGGACAGAGGGCAGCTGGTGTGAGTGTCACCTATGTGCGCGGCGTCTGATGGACAGAGGGCAGCTGGTGTGAGTGTCACCTACGTGCGCGGCGTCTGATGGACAGAGGGCAGCTGGTGTGAGTGTCACCCACGTGCGCGGCGTCTGATGGACAGAGGGCAGCTGGCGTGAGGATGGTGTGGCGGTCAGAAGGCCCTTGCTGCTTGAACTGTCTGGTGACCGGGCGGCTACAGTCTGTGAGCTGTCCGGGGGCGGAGAACCTCTGCTTTGTGCACAGTTTGCCAGTTTGGGCCAGAAGTTACTTCGGCCATGATGAGCATTGACCTCGCGCGCGTTGGTGACTGGTGTTTGTACTGCGGTGTTCTTTTTGGTTGGACGTGGCTAGATATTCTGTGCTCACCAGACTATATCATGCATGTGGGCGGAGCAATTCACTTTGCTCGGATGATATCAGATGTAATAAATATATATACCAAGCGTGAATTCTGTGGGGATACATCTACTGCATTACAGTGCCCCATTAAAAAGTGGTGCTCGATTTTATGGTCTCAGGTCAGAACCCGGTTCAGTTCAATCAGACCCTTACAGCCGAGTGTAAACAAGGTTTAGTGTTTTGCATGCGTCGCTTTCCAATGGGCCCACGCCGTTGGTGACGACATCTGTCGTTCCCAAACGCCGGGGCGAACGTGACGAAAACGAGCACATTTACAATTCAGGTACGCCGCGCGCGCCGCGAGGGTCGCATTATTGCGCCGCGCGGCCGGCGGACGGCGGCGCGACCGTGCACCAGATGGCGGCGGAACGGAGACGCGCCGCAATCGCCGCCGACGCCAGCCGCGCCGCCAATGCTGCGCTGGCTTGCGACACGCGCCGCCGCCGTTGCGCCACGGGTGCCGTCTGGCAGGCCACGTGTGGCGGTTGGACACGCAGCGTCGGCACCGGCGGCAGCGGATCACGCGACGGGTCGGTGGCGCACCGGCCGGCGGCGCGGCCGCGTCCACGCGGGTCGAGCTCGGCTGTCCGGTGGATTTCGCCGACGTAAAGAAGCGAAAGCTGGGAAATGGTATAGCAGGAAAGGTGCCGTGTGCCGCAGTTCATAATGCCAAACGGAAGCAGGTTTCCGGACTATTGCCGAATGCAAGTGGCCAGCTTGGGGCAGCTACAAGCGCGACGTACCGCTTGTGAGAGCGAGAGTGGAATGAGAACGGCGTGTATAGTACGCCGCAATTAAAATCATACCTCTAAATCATACTTGAAATCATACCACTAAAATCACACTAAAAGTCATGCGTCTAAAATCACACTAAAAGTCATGCGTCTAAAATCATACTTAAAATTGCATCTCTAAAATCATACTTAAAACATTCTCCTGCACTGTGTATGCCAACCATGTCGGCATACACTATTTATTTACGCGCAACGTCGCATGCATCATTTTTGTCGTGAACAATCGTAGCTACTTTACGGGCTACAATCACAAATGCTGATGATACGGTTGACGGCACTGCACATAGGTGACAGTCACGTTATTCGGTATTAATGTTAGACGGATTCAAGCGCACGGATCTCAGGCAATGCAGGAGCAATTGCACGACCTGCATACGGTCCTCACATCGTCGGGACGCGCGTATGTTGTTTCGCACGGCACGTGCGTTTACCGCAGTAGCTCCCGGCTTATGTGCGTTTGGACCCCTCCAGCATAGGTTCCTTATCCTAATTTATTGAAGGATGCGGCCTTCGAATTACTTACTGGCGTGTCTATGAGGGATTTGCATAGCGGGTCGTCACGCTAAGTGACCCTCCTCAGCAGCTGCACCTGTCCCTGCCGACCGCCCTTCACCAGCATCCGTCAGAGAATCCCTGCTGGCCATTCGACAAAGAGCGTCCTGGCATCCCGTGTTTTTCGACCGGAAATTCCATCGGATTAATCGGCGCTGCTGGAGCACGGCGGCCGCGCGAATCGCAGCAGCTCCTGCACCGGGAACGGCGCCAGCACCAGCACCGGGGCACCAGCTCCCGCGTCCGGCTGAGCGACGGCCGCTGCAGGTGGCGCTTCTTACATCCGATCTCACGAGATTTGCACTGCGACCAGTTCGGGCGCCGCACGCGTGATTGCAATCGCCGCCATCCACGCGTAGAGACGCGAGCGACGCGCGCGCCCGCACACATTCCGCGAGCGGCAGCATGGAGGACCTGGCTGGAAACGCATCTGGCACGTCTATCAGTGCATGCAGTGCATTCGATGAAGGGAAACGCGAACGATGGCGGCATTTTAACACCGGGATGGCTCTTCTTTCCAAACTAATGGATAGATGTTTCATAATGATCTTTCATAATGACTTCACGAGCTGCATGCATTTTCCACCAGAAAGCGCACGTGCCAGGGCCGAGCCTCACTTCTTATTCCGCTTCACAGAGAGCGGTCATTTAAACGCAGATGATGACAGGATGTATGCTTTGTGGCTGACAATTAGAGAGTGGTGCGTGGGCGTTTCATATGACGTCACATCTTTAACGGGATAATCGCGACCCTTAGAACGAAACAGCTGTTTCCTCCTGTGGAACAGTCACTCGGTAGACAAGAATGACAGTGGAGGAGCCAGCAGTGTATGGTATGCCAGAATTCCCTATGCGCCGAGCTGAGCAGGCCTGTGCTTGCAACGAATCTCCGCAATATAACGAACCACCTGGTGGCAGTAAGACTACATTGCACCCGATGCCCGACGCTCGGCAAACATCACCAAATCAAGGAGACTTCGGCAACTGTTTCAAGTTCTGCCTAAAATAACCCATCACGTAAGCACGCCGTCATCATAAAGGATGCACGGGGAGCCAGTCGCGAACGAATTGCACACTCCGGCAGTTGGCGTGTTTTCCAAACCGCCCAGTCGGTCCGCAAATCACCGGCCCGTGCATCACCGGCTCCCGCCTGCCTGTGCGGTCTCCCGGCTCCCGTCTGCCTGTGCGGTTCCCCGGCCCCCGCGTGCCTGTGCGGTCTCCCGGCCCCCGCCTGCCTGTGCGGTCTCCCGTCTTCCGACAACGATCAGTCGTGACGCGCCCCCTCCCCTCAGGACGGTGGAATCCGCGGCAAAACCAGCAGGCTGTCCGGTCCGCCGCCGGCGCCCCTCCGCTGTGACGTCAGCATCACCCCCAGTGAGTCAGCGACGCGCCGCGACTCGTCTGGAGTTCTGGCGATGTCTTGGGACTTAACGAACGATTCAGATGCAAAGTAAAGCCGATTTCGCTCAGCGTTGAGGACGCTCCTCTCAAGTTGGCCGGTGTCCGGCGGAGTAGATTTATGGGAAAGGTTGGAGGCATTCAGCGCCACCTGTATTCGTAATGTTAGGTGGCGCCACTGCCACAGTCCGGGCTAGGCCACCCTCTGCTAGTGGAAAGGACGGGGAGGGCCGGGGCGTCGTCACCGCAGCCGCCCGCTGCGCCGCCTGGTGACTGGTCTGGCGACCAGAGCTGGCGCCGTCGCTGGGGAAGCTATCGAGACACTCCTCACAGCGACGGGACCCCGACACAGCACTCCAGCGGACAGTCATGCGGGGTAATGACACTCCAACAGACGGTCACGCGGAGTGACAGCACTCCGTCAAGCGATCAGAGCGACGACACTCCAGCAGATGGCCACGCGGAGTGACGAAATCCCAACAAATGCTCACGCAAAGTGACGGTAATCCATTCGTCACGCGAGCTGACGACACTCGAAGTAACGGGCTGCCACACCGCCGGGGTGGCCATAGAGCCGGAGACCGCGGCTGAAGACCACGGCCCGGCGGCTGGCACGCCACCCGGAGGCGCGGAACGAGAGCGTCCTGGCACGGGCAAGCGGCTTTGTGACAGGATTCCCACGCTCATTGACTGACACCTGCCGGCCGTGCGGCTAAATCTCCACATCCCAGCGCCACCGAGAGCGGCTGCCGCAATGAGAAGGAAGTCGTCTCCCGCACACCAGCAGGGAGACGTGGCTGAGCAGTAGGGTTTGGAGGTTAGACGCTTAACACATAGCCGGTGACGCACTGCAGGCTGCAAACACACAGACGTGACACGTCACTCCAGGTGACGACGGCAGTAACGTGGGGGGGGGGGGAAGAGGGGGGCTCGTCCGGGTGGCACACCAGGATGGCCTTCGGTTCCCATTCGTGACCGTCGCAAGCGGCTGACCGCTTCACGAGCTGAATGTCAGCACCTTAATGGGCCGGGGTCATCGCAGGGGTCATGGAACCGACCTGTGGCCGACCAAGCGCTTCAAGGGACTATTTGTAACCAGGGGTGACCCGACTAGCGTAGGATTCCTCCTTCACATTTTGGGCCCCAAAGTTTGGGGCAAGGTCCTGAAGTTGAGCCCCGTCAATGAGGTTGCCTTGGCTAGTTTTAGGCTGTTCTCTACATTTCGAAGCCCAATATCGATAGCAGCTCCAATCCAAAGGAAAGCCGGATTCACTTTGTATATTTCTCGTTGCTGAAAGCCCGAGTTTGCAGCAATGCCGTAGAGTATTACATTTAAAACTTGCCATAATACAGAGCAGCGATGCTTTCAATTGTGACAGGACTTACAGCGAAACGTACTCTTTGGACTGTCAATTTGACGGGCTCTCACATGGAGCAAAGGCCGCAGCGTGATGAGAGTTAATGCAGACCACGTTCCTAAACCGAAAGAAACACATTTGGTTGCCTGGTCACGGACTTTGCATGCTTCTTTCCATGGGGTTACAAGTCGCCTCTGACGCTAAGCTTGATATCTATGGTGTCATCCTTGCGTGCACCTACGGAACGATTTTCTTTCTACCACGGGACAATGCCGGGACAATCAGCGTAGTTCTTCCAAGGGTGGTTTCCAAGTGCAACTTGCATGTTGGACTGCCATCCCTGAATACTGAACTTTACATAGATGTGTTCCGATCACTACGCCGGTCGTAACCATGTGCTTTCATCGGATTTCGATGCCACCAAGCTCATTTCATTGCATGACCGTTCAAAAAGGTTCCGCATGCCACATGATCACTCCTTTAAGGTTATGTTATGCAGATTGACAACGATGAAGGCCCCGAGCTCGGGCAATGAACGCAGTGTCACTCGGGTAAAACTGAATTTTTGTGGGGCCATTTCTGGCCATTTAATCAATACTGCCGCTTGCACGATGGGTTATCGAATATAGATTCTAGAAAGCATGGCTAATGCCCCTTCTTACCAAAAACACAAGCGCTCCGAGCGTGACGCAAACGCCCGCCGTTCCACGCACTTCGTTGTGTTGCGCATACCCCAATGAGAACAACTCCTACAAGTAAGTGTATTTCAAGTTGGATACGTTGGGGAAAATTGCCACTGCCATGAGGTATTCGAAAGGAGGAAAAAAAACACAAAAAGGCGTCCCCAGAACCCAAGGTCAAGACAATTCTAATATTTGATCACCACGAGCGCGACTAAAGCGTTGTACAGGAACCTTAAACGAAAGGTAACATATCAAAATAGGTAAGAGTACGGGAGATATCCCGACAATTAGCGTACAAACCAAAACCAGGTACGTTGCGTGCATACAATATACCTGAAACGCGCAAGGCAATAGCAACCAAAAGACAGACCGAGGTATTGTATCCGGTGCTCATAGCTCACTAACGCGAGTGGACATGAGTCGCAGGCTTAACAGAAGTGATGCGAGGTAACGGTGAGCGGAGGGTACGCAGAAGACGCGCTCACAATCCGCATCGGGGCGCTGCTAACCCACATCGCCCCACTTCAAGCCATTGTCACCACGTATCCGGGCCTTCGTAGGCTGCCCCCCCCCCCCCCCCCACAGTGATCTGCCACAACTCCCAGCTCACTGTCTCGTGGTCCGCTGTCTCCTTCGACCACTAGGACTGCCTGGCAAGTCACCAAAACGACTTCCGTTCCGACAAGGCACCTCTCGCATTGCCAGGAACGATTTCAGACATCGAGCTATATCAGCACGACTGTCGCTACCAGAAGAGCGGCTTCACTCTCGGGCGAGACTCAGACCCGAACACCACGGACGGGAGACGCACGTGATCTCCTGCACAGCGAACCTCCACCGCCGCCGCATAGTCCACGCTCCACCTTCCACCCACGCCGACCTGAGCGCGTCCACATCACAGGCCGCACCACAGCCTCGGCAGGTCGTCTCTACGCCAGCACAGCCAGCGGCAGGGGCGGTCACCGTCCCCACGCGCCAAGCGGCGGCACGGCTCATCCCTTGCAGTTGGCGCCGCAGCCGGCGCCGTGGCCCTTGTGCGACTCGGCCGTGCTGGCCGAGCTGACCACGATCTTGGCCGGCTTCGGCCACGAGATGTCGCTGGAGGCATCGGAGTCCGAGTCACTCGAGTCCGTGTAGGCGCCGACGCCGGGGAGCACGCCGGCGCAGCGCAGCGCCGAGGGGAACACGACCGCCGCCGCCGCCTGTCGCTGACTCTGAAACGAGCGGGACTTCAGGACGGAGGCAACGGCCGGCTGTCCGGGTGGGGCCGGCTGTCGTGTGCCGGAGCGCGGCGACGGGTCCGGTCGAAGTGCGCTCGAAGTGTGTGGTTGGTGGGTATCGTTGACTGGTCGTGTGGACGCGGCAGGCACGCAGTGCCCAAAGGTCAGGCCGCTGGGAATATCGGAGTCATGCAACGGGGCGGTGTTGCAGCCGGAACCACTGCCGAGAAGCATGGACTAGAAGTGAATCGTTCATAAACTGGACAAGAACGCTCCACTTCAAGAGTGCCTGACGCTGCAGATGCGCTGCGGTTGAGGCATGGAGACGTCACTCGCTTTCGCAGCGAGCCCTTCTATTTTCCCAGGTACCCCGGGACAATTTCTGCTCTCGTCACTTGGTCTTCTCGCTCGTAACATCCAGCCCCACAAGTAGTGAACTGCGATGAATTTGGCATTGAAAATCGACTCAGTCACGATTTCAGGATGACAACTCTATTAGTTTCTACAGTCAGTGAGTACCCGATGCGTGCACACTACCAGCAGCGCTAGGCGCTTCCAGATGCCACCACTGTCCCGGGTGTATGCCAATGAGTAACCCCAACGGTGGAGAGAGACGCCGCCGCGCTTTTCCGCAATGACCGGGGCTAACACTTCATATACTAAATACTTTCTAAAAAATGAGCGGCATGCATTACCAGCCCCATGCATGCATACGCAATGTTTCAGAACAAGAATTAGCAGTGAAGCATCATTCCAGCTGGGAGATTAAACGCACGGCGTTCTGCTTGCTGAGGACAGAATGGACGTAGTACTTGGCATTTCAAATAAAAATCTCTCCTCCGCCTCTCCACCGCCCGAGAGTCTTTGCCAGAGCCCACAGATCCTCCCACTGTTCAGAGGTTGCACCAGAGGCCCCGATAGGACCCATACATTCAGCCAGAGCCCAGACACGTTCTCGGAGCCCATAGGTTCAGCCAGAGCCCAGAGGTTCCGCCAAAGGCCCACCAGACCCCAGAGAACCGGTCAGAGTCTAGGGGCTCCACCACAGTCTAGAGACCTCCCCAGATACCAAAAGTTTCGACAGAGACTTTGCCAGCGTCGAGAGCCTGCTGCAGCGGACCCGTCCGGGCGGACAAACGTTGCTGGAGCGGGACACCCACCGTCAGCGCTAGGCCTTCCTCTCGCCCTCCGCAGCCGCAGCCGCAGCCGCAGCCGCGGCCGGGGCCGGGGCCGGGGCCGGGCCGGGTCGGGCTCGCGCGCCCGCCGCTTCACCACGCCGGCCAGCAGCTGGCTCTGCGAGCGTTTGGTGCCGGCCGGTCGGGCTGGCGCCGCCGCTGTCCGCTGCACCTCCGCCTTCAGACGCTGCTCCTCGGCCCGCTCCTCCGCCGACGCCTGCTCCTTCCTGCCGGCCGCGGGGCACGCACCGCGATGCCCAGGTAACACACGCGCCTACAGCATTTGGACGTACTGAGTACGTCACCGACGCTTTAAGGTTTTTGTTTTTACTCCAGCGAAGGTTAGCTCATTCCACAGGCCTTCTCTTGAGACCTCGTTCTCCAAAATCGATCGCCAGTATACTCCTGCATTCCTCGGCACGGGATGGGAGCCAAATTCATCAAAGGCGCATTGGGTTAATCATTTGATGAAGAGCAGTCAGGATCTGTTCTACACGTGCGACACGAGCACTGCGTTCACGAGCATAACTCACGCCACGTAACCTTGCCCGTGGCGAAAATAACACATGTGAAATCGCGGAAGTGAAGCTGCTTACAGCACACCTGTGACTAAAGGGTACTGTTTTGGACTGTGTTTGAACACATCACTGCTTACAAAGAACGCGCTACATCAACGTCCAACGTAAGTATTTTTGTTTTGTGTGCAGATAAAATTCGCTCCTCAGTGGCTTTGAACACGTACCTGAATTCTTCCAGTTCTCTGTTTTCTTCCTTCCTTATTTTGACCTCCTGATCAGATTTCGTTTTGTCAACCATGTCGAGGAAATTGCATTCATCTTCATCCAGGTTCTTTATCTGGTTCTCTGCAATCAAACAAAGTCATTTACCACGCAGAAAAGGAGACCAGCACACACACATTATGTTGTCGACACGTGGCAACTCGACACGCTCAAGGTTTCTCACTGTTTATCGGAGGTTCACAACTCACTGTTTATCGGAGGTTCACAACTAGCACAGCAAAACACGTCACGCCGACCGGAAACACCGCTCTTTAGTCCATGACAGAACCCCCGACGCTTGGGCCGATGTGCGACGGGCACGTGTCAACGCAACGCGTGGTATGCCACAATCTTTTGGTCATACCAGTCCGCCCAACTGGCATTGCTCTTCTGACGTAGTAACAATGGGGACTCAGGAACACGTCATGCTACTGCAAGGAAATGGTCTTAACGAGTCCAGTGAAGCACGTGTCAATAAAATTCCATACATATATTCAGAATTCATGGACCAGCACAGAAAGTGCGGGTTAGATGCGCAAAAAGAAAAAGGCTGTCATGACGTTGAAACCACCTAACGAAAACCGAAATCAGAGTGCACCACCACACAAGAGCGCACACGGGATTTTACAACGAGATGGGGCGACAAAAAGGAGACAACGAGTAAATCTTTTAACACACACACAGATGCCCACCATGACTCGGTTTTTTCATTCCAGCACTCCCACTCATGGCTGTCTCACCATCTGTTGCCGATCAAGAGGCAGGGCGTTGCAGTCACCTGTAACCTGGCATCGCCCCCTGGCACCATAAACAATCTAAACATTTCAGAGATGTGTGCGTTATTGGGGGTTTACGACGCACTCAGCTGCTGAGGCTATATGGCGTCGCCTGCCTCTCACCCTGGCAGGAAGGGCGGGCACCGCTGGGAATCGAATCCCGTACCTCTGGTTTCCCAGACGCGCAGTGGTTAACGCAGACGCGTTAACCACTATACTACCGGCACCCCCTCAATATTTCAGAGATGTTACACCCAAAAGCACTAGTCCAACATCATGGCTTGCTTCTCGGCATCAAGCTAAGTACTGGTGATGTATATGGCATAAAGTATGGACCAATTATCATCATTGTCAAGCTCATTACTTTAGTTTTTACACGAGCCTTCTGTAGTAGGACTGTGAGGGATAGCCTAATGTATGACACACTGCTGCAGAAAAACCTTGGCACTCCAGGCCTATCTACCCTGATCATTGTACAGTGCTCAGATCAACTATTCAGCTTCAACCTAGTCCATTTTATCCAAAGGATATACAATACATAAAACAACATCAGAAGATACCCACATATCACCTATATGAGCCTTCTAAGCACTATCTCTGGATACAAATAAATGATCTCATTTCTGAGGCATAGAGAGCATTGCTTGAGCCATATACTTACTGAACTTTCTAGACTCATCCCACTCCTCTTGTTTCTTATCTTTTTGCTCCTGAAGTCGATCATAGAGGGTTCTGTTGTCATATTCTGGCTCAGGAGCCTCTGAAATAATAGCAAAACGAACATAACAAATATCCAATGATTCAGTCACCAGCACAGCACACATATGGCAGCAGCATGTGAACTAACAATGTAAAAGTCAGTTCTTCTTCACTGGCTTTAAACCTTGATTCAGAAGAAACATAGTCAACTGCATACAAGACATGCTGATGCAGATGGTAATGTATTCACTATAAAATCTACATCGTGGCTTTTCACTTTGGCACATTTCGGTAAACAAAAATGTCGGGGACACGGTGGAGATGGCAATGTATTCACCATAATATCCACACGGTGGCTTTTCACTTTGGCACATATTGGTACCTAAAAATACCGGGACATGGTAAAAAGGCAACCATGCCGCTGGCACAGGAACAAAGCAAGGCGACAGCATTGTCAGTTACACATGGCGTCGAAAAACCGGCGCCTTGAGGATCGACGCCCAGCCTACTAAACAAATCTACGCGCCGGCAGCACAGCTGGGCCCTCCCCGCCTCTGCGCGGACTGGCGGAGTAGTTCGGCGTTCCGAACGTAGTGTCGTGCTGGTACCTCTGATTTGCACGCTGCCCAGTCGTGCAGTGAGCGCTCTTAGGCAGTCCGATCTTAATGACAGTTTGAACAGCGCACACAGTTTGGGAGCCTGTGAGCTGCTATGGAATTAGCCATCTCAGGTGTATGATAGTGTCCGTCATATGTGGCCATTTGACACGACACAAACTGACACGCGGCCGTTGTCAGTTCATACGTGACCATTTCATCTTCTGCCTGTCACCATCGGTGCGCGGAAATTGACCATCTTCTGCGTGCACACCTGAGTATCACTACAGCAGCCATACACAGATGTGCGGGATTGGTATCAGGACCAACATACACCAGCACAATGTTCTTTAAAGTTGTTTGAGATCACATAATGATTGCAAGACAATGTTCAAGACAATGACCACTCTATTACACTCATGGGTCATTGTATCAATCTGTCAATGGAAGCTGAACTGATGATCAATGGCAACTCCCATATTTCAGTTAGCTGCAGCTCTGACCTGAGAGAATGACTCCTCAATCACTGCAGCACCTTCATTGACATCAATAACCCTGTTTAGCTTCACTTTCATGCTCACCATGGTTTTCATGTCATTCTTGAGGTCTACATCATGTGGGGAAAATATTTAGTGCCATGGCCATGTCACACAAAAATGTGACCCAGTCCAGAGGGGGTGATTAGCCCCCTCCCCCATGCAGGGGCATCCCTCACAGCTTGTAATATATATATATATATATATATATATATATATATATATATATATATATATATATATATATATGCATTGCAAATTAAAATCAAAGTAAGTACATTGTCAGTAAGTCAAATATATTATAAGTTAAATATATTGCATTGCAAAATAAAGAATGGGTCCAAAAAGAGCATAATCAGTCCCAAAACCTGTAAAACAATTTTGCCCTACTGTGTCCTTAGTCCAAGCAAGTTTCCCAATGGTGAATAGGTTTGTCAGCAAAGTTTAAAACATGTTAAATGCCAAATAAAAGCATGTCATGTTGACACATAAATCCTCTTGTGCAGTTAAACTGTCCATTAGTAAGGAGTCAATCTCAAACCATTCATAAAGAAGCTACTAAGCCTAACGTTTGTTCTTTAAATGGCTAATTTTTATCAGCACATTTTGCTTTTTTAAGTTGGGTTTTGACAACATATTTTGTGTATAAGGTACAAGCAAGCACAGGAAGGCTGCAGCTATCCCTTTTGTTGGCCAATCCATTGCAATACTAATAACAAAACTGCTTTTACCAAGCCTGACATATTTCCAATAATTTTTTAAAGATTGCTTTCATGTGGGTTTGATATTTATGCTACTTTGAGATCTAAATACCTACTTGCATGCTTCTTTTTGGTCCTCATGCACAAAGTACTTCTCATATTACAGATCTCATATCTGCTACATGCAGGATATGTACAATACCTGGTGAGTGTTTTCCTCACCAGATATGGCATGCCAGTGTCAAAAGGTGGCAATCTATTTTCTGATAAGGTGGTATAAGCTACATGAACTATTTTTATGAAAAAATTGAGTACATTTGTTTTATACATACCATAATGAAAATCCTGCTAATATGTAAGTAGGGAATAAGGGATATGAAGAGCTTTCGTGAATGGCATGATGATCAAGGTGATGCATGATGCCAATGATGCTACACCCAAGACATCTATGATGCTGCATGACATTTCATGTTTGGACACACCAAACAGGAAAGCAATAGGGATCCACACATCCAAGCATGTCAACATGGTGATACAATATACAGTCACAGGGCCATATCTTTGCCTCACTCCATACCAATTGGTTGATCCTCTGTTCGGACTTTCTCCCATTCTTGCTGGCGCAATTCACGCTGTTTCTGGAGATCTGCCTCGCTCACAAATCCACTACTCATCCTTCTGAAGGTGCTGAAAAATGATAATGTCGAGCTGGAGGCATCAAGCAAGACATGCGTTGCTCATAGTGTTTCACAAAGTATGGTACATACATACCAAACTGGAAAACATGCCATGCTGATCATGTCCTGGGCAGCAGTGACATTGCAGAATGTGCCTTATTCTAGAGTATGCAAATTGAGGACCAGTGCTCAGCATAGTGCACAATCACCATCCTCATCAGAGCATGGATAGTTGCTTTCCCTGAAAATATTGATATTTCAGTGACAATTTCTGGCCAAAGAACCTCCTAAGGGAGTCCTTCCAACAAACCAAGATTAGATTAAGTACAATTTGGCCTAGCCTGCATTCAGTGCACATGCACGGGAGGTCTAGCCCACCGATTTCAAGTGTCTAGTGTCTGATGTACCGAACTTATTTTAGGCAGATTCGGTACACGCTACATGTTCAAGAACTGAATGCGCCAGAAGTAAAGAACAGAACAGGAAGCTCCCTACGCTGACAAGCACAGTGAACAGAACAATACAGTGAACGGTACTAAAAAGAGGCACCCCCAAGGCACCCTTACCCAACACCAAAAGGAAAACTTACAATGAACTACCCAATAAAACGTACTAAATTATTTCCGACAGCAAACTGCGCTGTAAACACCAAACAGTCCACAAAGAAATCGTTATAGGCCGACGATCAAACATTGATGCACAGTGCACGTCTTAAAAGTATTCTTCGCGCCATTAGTTGTACGTGCTAATACCCTCTCTGTAGCATGTTGTTCAAAAGCTTCCTCACTTTCCATTGCTTGGCCAGCTGGTCACATATGAATCACATACACCAGTCTCGTCTCATTAGCTGTACCTACGCTCGATCCATCATTTTACTCTGCTGTAATACTTATAAAAAATGTCACAAGAGATGGTTAAAATTTAGCATTCTGAGAGCTGGATATCGCAGGATGCTGATACATGAATACCTATGGCAGAATACGTAGCCCTCGGGCCCAAAAGAACAAATATGCAGTCATTGATTCTGGAGTTGGCTTTGTTTGATCGTGATTTTAAAACTGCCCAAAATTGTAATCAAAGACACCAAAATGCTCATAACGATCCAGAAGATGTAGCACCAACAAAAATATCAGGGTTATGGTTTTATCAGCTGATTTCTATGGTAGCAGCTTTTGGCTGTTAGCACGGCCTTGAGCTGTAGACAAATGTGGCATCATGCACGACCGGCGCGACACGTAGCAGAATTACTTGCCCCGGTCTTGGAATCGCCGAGGGCCCGCCCGTCGGGTGTTGTGCATTTAAATCAGTTAGTTTGTGAGTGGAACGGTGGATTTACGGGTCACTAACTTTTATGATAAGTTGAGTGCGAACGTCCATTCTGTTCAAGCGGCGCCGTCCCTTGTTCCTGAATTGTGCGAGCATAAGGATTAGTTTTCGTGCACGTAAATCGCGCCTTTAAACGCCTGAGGTATTCAGGATGATATTAATTCCTGCTCTGCGTCTGGACTGTTAACCTGGTCAAGCGTGGGTCTTCTCGACTCTAGAGCGTTCGGTTTTAAGGTGAGAATGTTTTTCATGTCTTAAGTTGTGCATGTTCTGGAGTGGTAAGCTGTGTACTGTGTATACTGTGGCTTTGTTGTTCCCAGCTGATCCCATCTGTTGAAGAGACATGACCCAAATAGAAAACCCCTCCATTTTTTCAAGCTAGAAAGTGTATAACTTGATTGAAATTTTTGGTGCATCAGATTGATATGCTGAGCCAACAAGAACATGTATTTACTCTGTGTTGGCTTGCCATATTGGTGTTAATTCCCTGTGAGTTGGTTTTGTTTTATTGTAAGACATGTTGCAAATATGATTAAATAGCAATCACATGCACAACCTGCCTGGTATGTTGTTGCTGTTGGAAGATATTTGTACATCTCTAAGGTTTCATTTTGTTAAAGATTTTGAGCATCACTGATTTGCAGCCAAACCTGAGTGCAACATTACACTGCTAGAAACCTCCTCCTCTATCCCCTGTTTTGCTTCCATTATGTTATGGGGTGTAGGTGTACTTTCCTACCTAACATTAGAAAAGATCACTGGTGTGATTTTTACTGGTGTGAAATTACCAGTGTGAGCTACATCCTTGATTGGTTTGGGCCCTGAATGACCACTGCAGTTAATACTCATGAAAACCCCAATAAGCAGCTAGATGGGCCTGCCAGCTTTATTGCCAGAGCTCCATCAGGCCTAGTTTTGCTGCCATGCATAATATAATGTAGGAATGCCTCAAGCTAGTAAATAATTGCATGAACAACTAAAAATGCACCTTTTGTTTTAAAAGATGTGTTGAAAATTAGTGAAATCAGTACTTAACTCTTTAAAAACCATCACAGTAATAATTTTGATACCATGTCCATACATGCAGCCAAACACTAATACCTGCATAATGACATATATGTTGATATAATTTGACTTCCTTTTGGTTTGCACTGTGTTTGGTTTGTAGGCTTATCATGTGGAGGCCGTAAAAGCTATGGCCATAGCTTTTAAATCAGCAAAGTACTTAAGATAAATGGCTGAAAGTGTGGATGGTGACAACCTGATAAACTTAGATATTATGTTTAAAAGAAGTCACCAATTAAACACACAGTTGATGGCAGAAGACATGTGCAAGCGGGATCTACACACTTGGGCTGAAGTTTTTTGGGTTTGCCAGTTGATTGTTGGGACAGGCAACTGTGTGTGTTAGATGTTATGCTAGGCATGTGTCTTTGTATTTGAAATTTGGAGTATCAAAATAATAAACCATTTCAAACTTCTTTTAGGCAGTAGGAATTTGTTGAAAATGAGAAGCACTGTTATGGCATTTTGTGCATTTGCCCCTCCCCCTTAGGTTCCAAAGGGGCTCAAAAGGTCCCTCATAACCCATGATTGTGGGCCCAATTTTAGGGTGCAAAGGGCCTGAAAGGCCAGCTTGAGGTTTCATTCAGGGGCCCTGGCCTACAGGGCCAGGCACTCCAATGCTAGCCAGAGTGCCCTGCACACTGATCAGGAGCTCTCTGAGCCGATAAGAGCCTTTTTTGGTCAGACACCACCAGCAACGCATACCCGGCCTCTTGACGGCATGGGCCTAAGAGCCTGTTTTCAAGCAGGGACAAAGCTGGGGCCAGCGATTTAAATTGCTCTGGACTCCCACAGCGCCTGACAGGGGCCCTGTGTTGACAATGGGCCGCGAGTCGGCCAGAGGCAGTATTCGAGGAGGCCCAAAGAGCCTAAAGGGCCCGCCGGGTCCGACGATCAAGGACCCGATTGGAGGGTCTGAAGGCATTAAGGGCTGGTCGGAGTCTTATTCAATGGCCCGACCTGTGAAGACCTCAGATAACGACCAGAAGGCCCTTTGTGCCGATCGGAGACCCCCTGGGCTGATATAGGCCTATATGTCGATCAGGCTCCACTGTATCACACAGTCGGCTCCATTTCAGTATGGGCCTGAGGACCCATTTCCCAATCACGTTTAAAGTGTGCGGGGGGGGGGGGGCAGGGAATTACACTGGTGTGGGGCCTCGCATCTGTCTGGGTTCTACAGCGTGTGACAGAGGGCACTGTGCTCGCAAGGGTCCCAAGCCGACCAAGGGAAGTGTTCGATGAGGCCCGGGGAGGGGCCTACCGGAGCTAACCCGGTTTAAGGGCGCAGGGGCTCGAAGAACTGGCTGTAGGTCAAGTAAAGAATCGCGGCCCGTAGCGTCGTGACCTGAAGTATCAGTCAGAGGCCCATTTCATTCCAAGTCACATACTAAATTTTCACTTATGGTAAGACGTTTGGGAGTTAGCTGTAGCATGCAGGGATGCAAGCATCCTTGCACGCTACAGCTAACTCCCAGAATGCTAACACTTCTCGCAAGAAGCGCGCATTGCTGCCTCAATACCAAAGCATCATTCTGCATGTTCTCAAATGACCTGAGCCTCCTTAATGAAGGCGCCGAGTTTGCGGTTATTCTGACGGTACCAACGTGCTGGCCACTGACAAAAGGTCCGCTCCATCCACCATAGCCTGACATCACGAGGCTGACGCTGAAGCCGAATCTGGTGTACAAGGCCGTGTTGTAAATTAAACCTATCTTCGCGACCGCTGAAAGGTATGGGAGGAGAAAACATCCGGGTCTTCAAAGCGGCTGAGACGAGATGTTAATAGTGGGAGATGATCGGACTGTTGTTCTCGTCTTAATGAGACCGAGGTCAACAGTTCCACATCGCGTATGAAACTGAATCAGGAGCCGTAATTCAAGGATTGTTCGCGGACGAAACTACAGTCAGCGGTCAAAAATGGGGAAAGACACAACCGAATCCGCAGGCAACCTTTTGAAATTGCACGAAGCCGAAGCCAAAGCCTAAGTCGAAGTTGAAGTCGGTTGTATGAAATGGCTGAACGGAAGCCGAACTGGGAGCCACGGAAAGAAAACAGCGATTTCCGAAGCCGAAGCCGATTTCACTCACGGCGCTGGTGTTAGCACAGCGTAGGTCAATGCAAAAAAGGCGAGTGGTAGTTTTGGAATCAACCGAAAGTTTGTCACAGCGAAGTTGACCACAGTTTCGTGTGAGGCAAAGTGTGCTTTTCATCAAAGTACGATCTTGATCCACTGCTTTGCTTACAGCTTCACCGTTAGTTTGCTTTCTATCCCTTCTCCCAACGTCTCCATTGCGCCCTCCTCTCCCACATAAGAACCGTCAGCATACGCTGAAAGTGCAGGATTTCCAGTTCGTTTTAAGACCCGAGCTAAGTAGGATAGTTATCCCAGTGTGATAAGTGAAATTGCTTACACTGATAAAAAGCTGTTGGTAAAACCATTTTATATTGAAGCGCATACATTTTAAATCTGTTAGATTTTCTCCGTTTGAAATGGATGGGCACGCATATGCATATGCCTTTTATGCATCGGGGTAAAATGATGAATGCGAGTAGAGGTAGATGCATGGACATGATAATGACAATAGGCATGAGTAGGGGCCATACGTGTGGGCATAGGAATAATTGGTGTCATAGCTGTACAAAACGGTAATATGGATTCAGTCGGCGTGACCTTGGTTTCGTAAACACCGCTGTCATGCGTGCGGGTTGTCACACTCAGACGTGAGATTGGACATGTGACAGATCGGACATTAGGGGAATTAAGCCGCGGATGTGTTGTCGGACATGTCCCTCAGTGAAACACCAGGGCACTTGCCTGTCCTCGGAACTTGCCGAAATGGCCCAGTGGAAGTCTGTCATCCTAGTTTCACGTGTTGACCCCTCTCCGGTCAGCGGCCTTTCTGCCTGCTTCTTGCCCCGACAATGGGATATTGTCATCCTTATCGTCGTTTTATCGCCCACCGTTTTTGGTGTGAATGTCTTAGCAATGACGGAAACTAAGTAGCCATTGATTGCGGAACTTAAAGACGTCAATTTACTTATCAGGACTTGATGCCTGTCACCCCCCCCCCCCCCCCCATCTCTTGAGCTACTGGTGTAATGAAGGCGAACTGATGTTCGTGTGATTCAAACTGCTCATGTCGGGGCCACCCTAGAAACGCTGGCATGGCCACTGTCAACAGGGTACCCGCCCTCCACCCCCGAATCCCGTCCCCCTCACCCCCACCCACCGTCTCGTCTCCGTACGTTCGAGACGTTCGACGTTGGACTGTTGCACCCCTCCCCCGTCCTCCCCCTCCCCTCCGGCTGTCTGCTCCCTGACGAGCGGCCGGCGGTGGGCGACAGTGCCCCGCCGCCCCTCCCCGGCCCAGCCCGCCCCGACGCCCGGTCCTTCGAGTGCCCTCGGCCAGGCGGTTATCGGCGGTCCGTCGACCGGCCGCCCCCGGGGTCAGGGGTCCGGGGCGGCGGGCGCACGCCCGCGGCCCGGCCGCGGCGCACTCAGTCCTGCGGCTGCCTCCGACGCGACGGTCGGCGGCCCGGCGTGTGCAGTGAGAGACGCCGCGCTCTGCCGCGCTGTGCGACGTTGGCGGACGCGGAGCGAACGGCACCATGAACGGCTCGGCGTACACGGTCGTCAACCTGCCCTCGCACGTGGTAGGTGGCGGGCTGGGACCCGGCCGGAGGGGACGCGGCGCGGCCGGGCCCCGCGAGCGGCGCCCCTGGGGCGTCGGTCGAGCCCGGCCTCGGGTCGGCGGCAGCCGGGGGATGTGTGGTTCGGGGCTGGCCGGCCGCCAGGTGGCCGGGCGGGGGTCACCCGTGAAGCGGGGACACAGCCGCCTGCCAAGTGGCGCGCGGCGCAACCCGTCACCCGGCCGGCTGACACCCGCCCGCGAGGCGCCCGGTGGCCTGGCCAGCGGGGGGTCCGAGTGCCCTGCTCGCTGTGTTTGTGTGGTATGCGTTTTGGACTGGTCTTGTGAGTCCACGGTTAGAGTAGCCCTGGCTCGTGCGATCTTGCAGGGTTGACACAAAAGCACGGCCACGTGTTGTCGAACGGTATTCGGTGTTCGTGGTGTCCTCGCGCGAGATCCGGCATGGACGGGAGTGCCGCGGCGGGGTTGGCTCGCGCCTTTTCTGCAACGGGTTGTGGAACCGGTGCGAATGGCCAAACCCGACTGACGAGTCAAAAGCTCAACTGTCGACAAATGCTGCTTGTAAACAAACTTGGAAGAACTTAATGAGTGGTTGGCGTAACTAGGGCAGCCTGTTGTAACTAAGACGCGAATATACACAAAAGCTGGGACAAGGAGAGCTTGAAGCGCCTCATTTGAGTGAACGGAAAGCATATTCCACTTGTTACGAGTGCAATTTAAGGTGGACGATTATTCGGGTGAGGTCTGAGCCGTCTCTGCACACGTTATATGAGAACAAAGACAAACAGCTCCAGGTCGCTCAACAGCCGTCGTCCTCGGCAGGCCGGCGGTCCCAGCCCTGGTCGAAGAGTGCTCCTTGCCCTGTGCCCGGTTGCCCGCGAGTGGTTCGCCGTCAGCGCACCCACTAACCGCATTGGAACCGAGACACGGGCCAAGTCAGTATTCTGAGCACACGTCACGGTTGACGAGTGCAGTAAAGCGACACGTGTTGTGACGTCAAGTGTGCCCGCTTCCAACAGTCTGCTGCGGGACGGAGGCCGCATCTCCGGCTCCGCCCGGCGCCTCCGATTCGGGATCCGGGCCGGCCGCCGCCAAAACACGGCGTCACATCTGCGTGCCAGTTCAGCTGTGTTGACGGTCCGGGCGGGCGTCGCCTGTTCGGGCCCGGCCCGACCCAAGGACGCGCGGCGACGCGTGGAGTCGCACTGAGCCGCGGCACCTCCGCCCCGGCCACGTGCGGAGGAGCGCAGGTCTGGCGGCGGCGCCCCGGCTCCCGCTGGCGAGTACCCGCCCTGCTGTGGTCCAGGTCACGGCTCCGGCGGCGGCGCTCGGCTCCCGCTGGCGAGTACCCGCCCTGCTGTGGTCCAGGTCACGGCTCCGGCGGCGGCGCTCGGCTCCCGCTGGCGAGTACCCGCCCTGCTGTGGTCCGGTCACGGCTCCGGCAGCGGCGCCCCGGCTCCTGCTGGCGAGTACCCGCCCTGCTGTGGCCCAAGTCACGGCTCCGGCGGCACCGCGCGCCGGACCGCGGCGATGGTGACGGGACGGCCGTGTCGCCTCCTTCCGATCGCCTGACCTCCGGGCCGCGATAGCACGGCTGATCTCTCCGATTGTCCGGCGCTGGGTCTGTCGATCTGTCGAGAACGCCCGTCCTTGATCGGCACTCGGTCGTCGCCCCCCCCCCCCCTCCACCCCCCCCTCCTCCGCTCGGGAGCTCTGGGTGCGTCCACCGTGACCTAGTGGACTTGATCTTGTGTATGTGCGCAGGGAGACGGCCAGTGCTCTTTTAAGTCCACGGCCGCTGAAAAACGACGATGATTTGTAAATATTGACATTTGCACGGCTTTAGGTCGCGCTGCATCGAACAGGGCGCTGGCGGTCCGAATATTTGGTGGATGCATGCTTGGCGTATCGGGAGGAGTCGCTGTGAGCGTGAGGTGCAGTTTAATGGGCTGATGCGATGTCACTCCTAGCGTGGCGGCGTCCGTCGCAAGGCTGTCAATGCAGGCCGTAGCACATCTTGCTGTCGCCCACAAGTATTGGTTTTCTGAAGCACGGCGCTAGACGTTGTTTTAATGTGCCCTGCACTGTATACAGGCCATCCTTGCCATGCACAAAACAGCCCGCGGCGTCTCCCAGTCGCCTGTTTGTTGTGTTTTTCCGAGTGTCGACTCAATGGTGGCGCGTATATGCGGTGAATATCAGCAGATGCCCACCACAGCTGTCGCGCCCTTCCCCGTCCACCTGTGTGCACACCCGGGCAGGTGTCGGTTACGCCTGCTGAGCGCCAGCCAGGCCTGTGTTCGCGCCGGGGCCGCTGACAGGAGACGTTTTGTTGTCCGGCCGTGCTGCGTGGCGAAGACTGCGAGACGCCAGTGCGTGGGTGCCCTAGCCTGTGAGACGGGCTCTCCGTGGCCCGGTGCGGACCTGTCCGCACGCTGCAGGCGGGATCGTCCGAGTCCCTGCCGCCTGCCGGTGCGGCGCGTCGCCGCTCGCCGGCTGGCGACAGAGGACCTCCACGTGCGCCTGGTGCCGGCGCGCGCGCGCGTGTTGTCTTGGCTCTGCTGGCCGCGCTGTGAATATGCCATCACGGCGCCTGTCGTGTTACGATGTACGGCGCGGCGGGCCGGCGACCTGTCCAGAGTCTTGTGCGTCAGCTACATCGCTGATTGCGGCGGGATTGGCCGGTGTCTGGGTCGACAGGCGCAGGCCGTGGTGACCCGCGTACAACCGCAAGCCCCTATACCGCATGTTTACCGACAGGAGCAGGCCCTGACTCCTCCTCCCCCTCTGTGTTTGTGTGGACGGATATAGGTCCTGACAACTTCGCGTCTGTGTGGACAAACACGGGCCTCGACATCCCCGTGTATGTGTGGACAAAGACCGGCCGTGATCACCCGTGTCTGTGTGGACTGGCGCCAGTTGTGACGGCGCCGTGCCTCTCCCTCTCGACAGGCGCAGGTTCTGACGGCGCCGTGCCTCTCCCTCTCGACTGACGCCGGTTCTGACGGCGCCGTGCCTCTCCCTCTCGACAGGCGCAGGCGGCGGCCGACTCCCAGGCGGGCCGCAGCACCGTCATCAGCATGGCGGCCGAGTCCCGCGGCCACCGGCGCTCGGCCGCGGCCGGCGCGCGCAACGGCCGCGCCCGCCACCACCCGATGGACATCGGCCTGGTGAAGGTGGCCGAGCGCGAGGAGCGCGAGGGCCTGGTGCTCTGGCGGCGGCCCGTCACCACACTGCACTACTGCTGCCGAGAGCTGCTCATCGAGACAGCTCGTCTGCTCAGGAAGTGAGTCGGCAGGCCGCGCCGCTGGCAGTAGATGCACATAAGACGCTGAGGGCAGTTTCCACGCCTCCCACTCGTTGAGTGTGGACTCCGTGTGGATTTCCACTCAGCAAGAGGGGCGGCTGGGTTGCGGTAGGCGTGTACGGGGTTTCGTGGGTCGCGGTGTTAGGTAGGATTCCGACGATCGCGTCGAGTCCTTGGCGCGTCGCTTGTTTCATGATGAGGTGTCAAGGAAAGTCGTGCGATGTTTGCGTGAGGCTAGGCGGTCACGAACGCTGTCTGTCAAAACCATAGTGTGCCGGCCGTACGACTGCGGACTGGGGACAAGTGCGGTCGAGCCTCATCTTGTCCGGCCTGTCGTTGGGGGCACGAGTGTTGATAATGCATTCTGAAGAGCCGTCTGACACCCTCGGTCAGAGCTGGTCAGAGTACGCCTCGGGCGCAGCTCGGTCCGGCTGGACTCTGACCCGGCTCCACTCGGACTGGAGCAGCGCTCTATGCGCCGAGTACGCGGTCCGGAGCGTGGCCGGCCCCTCAGAGCCCGCAGCTGGCTCCGTCCCTGGTAACGAGCGACGCGCCGTGCTTTGCCGCCATTATGACTAGTGGCAGCTGCTCTTAATCTCTGCTAGCCAGGTGCCCTAGCCGCGGTAGGCCGCGTTTCCATGCGAACATCGACTGATTGCAGCGAGAGGGGGTGGGGTAGGGGTGACGTTTCAGGCGGCGCTCGCGCGCGTCCCCGAGGCTGGCGCTCGCCCGGTGCCGATGGTGACGTCACCGCCCGGGTCCGCTGCCGGCAGACTCTGGAGGAACCGGCTAGCTGTGGTACTGGTGCTGATGCTGGCGGCGCTGGCCGTGGTGGTGTACTACACGGAGGGCGAGCACCAGCAGGTAAGAGTGCCCGCTCTGGGCGGCGCCCCCGGCCTGCGGACCCCCGGCAGGTCCGCGGCGGAGGAGGGAAGGGACCGGGAACGCTGGCAGAGCTGCCGAGCTCTGAGCTGGTGGCGTGGGCTCAGTCGATGATTCCGTACTCGCCCGGAAGCGCGTGCGTCTCCCGCTGTCAAAAGATTAGCGGGAGGGCCAAGTTTCTCATGCATTCACCCGGATGATATGGTCATCTGCCGTCTGGGAACGTTGCCGACTTGCTCACGCCGAACCTACTGGGATTACCTGCTGCTGATGAACGTTGTGCATGCCGTTAGTGCTGGTAAACCTAGGTTACGTGTCCGCTGCGTGGGTGTTGAAGACGTTTCGCTGCAGTTCTTTGAGGAGTCTGCGGTTCCGCGTACACTACCAGTGTTTCACTCGAAAGTGCATCGCTGTAAAGTTGTGCCTCTGGGGAGTCAGTGGGAAGTGTATGCTCTGTGCCCCTCGATGCCGGTTGTGTTACCTGTCCCGCCCCATCAGCCGGGCGGACAAGGAGCCGCTGTGCCTCCTGAGGAAGAACCGTGTGATCTGACCCGAGCTAACCTGACCTGACCTCACCTGACCTGAGCTGACCTGGGCTGACCTGTCGCCGGCAGCTGATCGGCCGGGCCGAGAAGCAGATGCTGTGGTGTCTGTACTGGGTCGGCCTGGGCGTGCTGAGCTCGGTCGGCCTGGGCACGGGGCTGCACACGTTCCTGTTGTACCTGGGTCCACACATCGCCGCCGTCACGCTCGCCGCCTACGAGTGCGACTCGCTCGACTTCCCTGAGCCGCCTTACCCGGAGCAGTGAGTGACGCCCCCCCCCCCCCCGCCCGTCCCGACACACTTCCCCCTACCCCGAGGATTGAGTGACGCCCCCACTGCTAGCCCCGTTCGGTCGAACGGGACGCTTGGAAAGCAGCACCGAACGGTCCGTGTTCTGAGGATCTTTTTGCTTTTGGTGCTTCAGCTTTATTCTATCCCATAATGTCCATTTCCGATGGTATCCCTCACTCGCCGGGTGTTTTACAGCTGCGATAGGCATCACTGGGCTGCAGACTGTGCTTTGTCTGCGACTGAGCCACCGTCTACAACGCATCATCGTACCGCTGGCGCCGCGCAACTGTGATCTGTGCCACCGAGTCGTCTTCCTCGTGCCGCTGGAGCCTCCGCGCCAATACTGCGCCGGCGGGACGCGGGGCGATGACGTCACCGCCCGCTGCCCTCAGGATCGTGTGTCCCTCCGGAGTCTGCCGCCGCCGATGCCGTCGCCGATGCCGCCGCCGCCGCCGCGGCGCCAGTCACCATGTGGGCCGTGATGTCGAAGGTGCGGCTGGAGGCGTTCATGTGGGGCGCCGGCACCGCGCTCGGCGAGCTGCCGCCCTACTTCATGGCGCGCGCCGCCCGGCTCTCCGGCGTCGAGCCCGACGACGAGGACTTCGAGGAGTTCGAGGAGCTGCGCAAGAAGAAGAACGCCGGCGACTTGTCGCTACTAGACCGCGCCAAACTCGGCGTGAGTGGGGGAAAGGGAGGGGCATGGGTGGCTCTACGGGAGCGGCGATGATTTTGCGAGGGCTCAGTGCGCAGATGGCCGAGGCCGTTCCGCGCACGGGAAGCCAGGGACTTCGTGCAGAAAGGCTGGTTGTCGTTTGTTGTCGTTTGATATTTACGTGTCCGCTCTCGCACAGTTCTAGCACATTATTCGTCCTTTACGGTCGTGGCATTTTCTCATTAGGAATAGGGACGATGAGAACGTAAAGATGGTGACGATGGATTCGCCCCGTCACCATCTTGACGTGATAGTACGGTTGTCAGCCCCGGTTACCGTGGAAGGGGGTACGGTTGTCAGCCCCGGTTACCGTGCAGAACAGTGTCCGAACCTGCGTGCCGTGTTCAACGTGGCCGGGGGACAGTGTCCGAACATGGTTGCAGTGTTACCGTGGCCGGGGTACAGTGTCTGGCCGATGAAGTGTACCGTGTTACCGTGGCCGGGCACGGTTGGCTCGGGTGCAGTGTTACCGTGGCCGGATGCAGCTTGTCTGACCCGGTGCCTTGTTACCGTGGCGTACATTGTCTGACCGGTGCCGTGTTACACGTGGCCGGTACGGTGTCTGACCCGGTTGCGTGTTAACGTGGCCGGGTACGGCTGTCTGGCCAGGTTGCACGTGTCCGTGGCCGGGTGCGGTTTGTTTCTGACCGGTGTCGTTGTTACCTGGGCCGGGTACAGTATATGACCCGGTATGCCGTGTTACCGTGGCCGGGTACGGTGTCTGACCGGTGCCGTGTTACCGTGGCCGGTACAGTGTCTGACCCGGTGCCGTGTTACCGTGGCCGGGTACAGTTTCTGACCCGGTGCCGGTTACCGTGGCCGGTACGGTGTCTGACCCGGTGTCGTGTTACCTTGGCCGGGTACAGTATCTGACCCGGTGCCGTGTTACCTTGGCCGGGTACGGTGCTGACCCGGTGCCGTGTTACCTTGGCCGGTACGTGTCTGACCCGGTGCCGTGTTACCTTGGCCGGGTACACTGTCTGACCCGGTGCCGTGTTACCTTGGCCGGGTACGGTGTCTGACCCGGTGCCGTGTTACCTGGCCGGGTACGTGTCTGACCCGGTGCCGTGTTACCGTGGCCGGGTACAGTAGCTGACCCGGTGCCGTGTTACCGTGGCCGGGTACGTGTCTGACCCGGTGCCGTGTTACCTTGGCCGGTACAGTGTCTGACCCGGTGCCGTGTTACCTTGGCCGGTACAGTGTCTGACCCGGTGCCGTGTTACCTTGGCCGGGTACAGTGTCTGACCCGGTGTCGTGTTACCTTGGCCGGGTACGGTGTCTGACCCGGTGCCGTGTTACCTTGGCCGGGTACAGTATCTGACCCGGTGCCGTGTTACCTTGGCCGGGTACGGTGTCTGACCCGGTGCCGTGTTACCGTGGCCGGTACAGTGTCTGACCCGGTGCCGTGTTACCTTGGCCGGGTACGGTGTCTGACCCGGTGTCGTGTTACCTTGGCCGGGTACAGTATCTGACCCGGTGCCGTGTTACCGTGGCCGGGTACAGTATCTGACCCGGTGCCGTGTTACCTTGGCCGGGTACGGTGTCTGACCCTGGCCGTGTTACCGTGGCCGGTACAGTGTCTGACCCGGTGCCGTGTTACCTTGGCCGGGTACAGTATCTGACCCGGTGCCGTGTTACCTTGGCCGGTACGGTGTCTGACCCGGTGCCGTGTTACCGTGGCCGGTACGGTGTCTGACCCGGTGCCGTGTTACCTTGGCCGGGTACGGTGTCTGACCCGGTGCCGTGTTACCTTGGCCGGGTACGGTGTCTGACCCGGTGTCGTGTTACCTTGGCCGGGTAGGTGTCTGACCCGGTCGTGTTACCTTGGCTGGGTACAGTGTCTGACCCGGTGCCGTGTTACCGTGGCCGGTACGGTGTCTGACCCGGTGCCGTGTTACCGTGGCCGGTACAGTGTCTGACCCGGTGCCGTGTTACCTTGGCCGGTACGGTGTCTGACCCGGTGCCGTGTTACCGTGGCCGGTACGGTGTCTGACCCGGTGCCGTGTTACCTTGGCCGGGCACGGTGTCTGACCCGGTGCCGTGTTACCGTGGCCGGGTACAGTATCTGACCCGGTGCCGTGTTACCTTGGCCGGGTACGGTGTCTGACCCGGTGCCGTGTTACCTTGGCCGGGTACGGTGTCTGACCCGGTGTCGTGTTACCTTGGCCGGTACGGTGTCTGACCCGGTGCCGTGTTACCTTGGCCGGGTACGGTGTCTGACCCGGTGCCGTGTTACCTTGGCCGGGTACGGTGTCTGACCCGTGTCGTGTTACCTTGGCCGGTACAGTATCTGACCCGTGCCGTGTTACCTTGGCCGGTACAGTGTCTGACCCGGTGCCGTGTTACCTTGGCCGGTACAGTGTCTGACCCGGTGCCGTGTTACCGTGGCCGGGTACAGGTCTGACCCGGTGCCGTGTTACCGTGGCCGGTACGGTTCTGGCTCGGTGCCGTGTTACCGTGGCCGGTACGGCGTCTGGCTCGGTGCCGTGTTACCGTGGCCGGTACAGTATCTGACCCGGTGCCGTGTTACCGTGGCCGGGTACAGTATCTGACCCGGTGCCGTGTTACCTTGGCCGGGTACGGTGTCTGACCCGGTGCCGTGTTACCTTGGCCGGGTACGGTGTCTGACCCGGTGCCGTGTTACCGTGGCCGGGTACGGTGTCTGTCCCGGTGCCGTGTTACCGTGGCCGGTACGGTGTCTGACCCGGTGCCGTGTTACCTTGGCCGGGTACGGTGTCTGTCCCTGTGCCGTGTTACCGTGGCCGGGTACAGTATCTGACCCGGTGCCGTGTTACCTTGGCCGGGTACGGTGTCTGACCCGGTGCCGTGTTACCGTGGCCGGGTACAGTATCTGACCCGGTGCCGTGTTACCTTGGCCGGGTACAGTGTCTGTCCCGGTGCCGTGTTACCTTGGCCGGGTACAGTGTCTGACCCGGTGCCGTGTTACCTTGGCCGGGTACAGTGTCTGACCCGGTGCCGTGTTACCTTGGCCGGGTACGGTGTCTGACCCGGTGCCGTGTTACCGTGGCCGGTACGGTTGTCTGACCCGGTGCCGTGTTACCTTGGCCGGGTACGGTGTCTGACCCGTGCCGTGTTAACCGTGGCCGGGTACAGTATCTGACCTGGTGCCGTGTTACCGTGGCCGGTACAGTATA